CAGATTATGCTAAATTTGTTTTGCAGAAACAAAATCTGGAAGATTCTCTGGTACTTGATCAACAAAAATTGATTCTGCGTTCATAGATTGAGTATTTTAATTGATATAAAACCGTTTTAATCGGTTAAATTCACTTACAGAGTAGTTCAAAAAAGTTTTCCTTATAGTTTTAATCGATTATTCTACGAATTAATCGATTAAAATGTTCCCAAAACTTTAGTAAAAATCTTTCATCTTTGTTTTAATCGATTAAAAATGATTTACATAAGTTAAAATCATTAAAAGAACAAATTTAATCGATTCTTTTTCGTTTTAATCGATTAAAATTCTGTTATCATTTCATTAAATCTTTTTAGTACAAAAATAATCGATTCTTTTATGTTTTAATCGATTACTTCAACTGTTGCTTTTTCAAACCTAATATTCAAGATCAAATTAATTGGTTAATTTGTTGATTAATCGATTAATTCGTTCTTAAAAATCATTTTAATTATAGTCAATTGAAAATTTCCAGCTAATTAAGGTCTGATTTTCAAGATTTATTATTTACCAAAAATCTGCAAGTGCATTTACTATATTGTTTGACTTGGTCAATACTTATCTAAGGAACAAATTAGCTGATGTACCCACTGTCCAAAAATTGCACCTCTGCCTTCGGTCAAGGGAACACTTGCAATTAAAGCTGAAACACTGTAGGTTCTGTCAAATTGGTCTTCAAAATTTGAAATCCAAAACAAATTTGGAATCCGAAACCCATCCAGGTTTTGCATTTCTTCTTCACTCTTCTCATATTCTGCATAACACTATCAACTATTTCATTTTCTCTTCTCTCGCCTTCATATCTCTACTCGAAAATCCACTACAAGATGTTCAAAAGATCAAAATCAAGGAAGAAACAAAAGGGGGAATCATCTTCTGCTACTGGAAATGTTGGTGGTCACGTTGAAGCTTGGTTCAATGGTGACATGGATAAGATGAACAACTTTATTTCAAACTTCAGCCAAAAGCAACTAGTGATTCACAAATATATTAAGTTTGCTTTGTTAGATGAAGAAGGATTCACCTCACTAAGAAGGAAATTGAAAAGACAAAAGTTAAAATCTTTCTTGGAGTATATGGGCAACATTCAACTAGATCTTGTGAGGGTATTCTATGCCAACTTCACGGTCAGTGGCTCTACAATAAGATCCCAGGTTAAAGGTATAAATATGGTAATTACTCCTGAGGTATGAGAGGAAGTAGTTGGTCTTCATGATGTTGGGGTAAAAGTTTCCAGAGGTAACACTGTTGAATTACCTGATTTTAACAAAATTCAGTTTTTTCCGCACTTGTCTCAAAAACCAAAATGAGTATGTAAGAACCCTTAATGCTGGAAAAATGAAGCTTGAATCAAGAATTTTTGTCTTCATAATTGCTTGGATGCTTACTCCAAGGGGGAGTAATCATGCTTTTCTCAATGAGGGTGATTTAGTTCTCATGTACTGCATTGAAAACAATATGCATGTTAATTGGATTTTTGTTATCAAGGATCACACGATAAAGGCAAAAAGATTGGCTGATTACAAACTGCCATATGCAATGGTGATTAATCAATTCTTTAGGTATTTTGAAGTGGATCTTGCAGGTGAATATGTGGAAACTCCAAAGGCCTCCAATAATATTGATGATTCCACCTTGCGGAAGATGGGATTTATCAAAATTGATGGAGAGTGGATCTCAAAGATTGATGCTGGAATGCCTGAAGATGAGGATGAAGATGAAGAGGAAGCTGATCAAATTCCTTCTCCTCCAACTGCTGAGGTTCCCTAGTCCAGTGCTGGGGAGACCTCATATGAAAACATGGAGATCATACCCTACATTGAGCAGCCTGACCGTGGAACTGCTCTCTCCCAATTTGAAAGGACTATGCTCTCCCAAATATCCACGCTGCAAGAAAATCAAAGGAAACACATGCAAATGACTTACCAACATTTCCAGCAAACCAACACACAATTCTCCAACCTAAGGAATAAAATTGCTGACATTTATACCAAATTGGAGGATATGCAGCTTAATCAAGGAAATTGGAATGATTAAGCGTCATCAAGGGTATTTTCTATCATAATCTTTTTCTGTCTACTTTACTACTACTTTTATTATATTTTGGACTGTAATATTAACTGGTCTTAGACTAGAAACAATCTCTCAACTTTCTTAAATACGATGCAGGTTTTTAACTTGAAATTAGAATTGAATTAGAAACCTTAGATAGAATTAAAAACATAATTTTGATAGTTTTAGCTGATACAAAAATGATTTAATCGATTAAATCCATTTACAGAAACATTTACATAGGAAATTCGTATCATTTTAATCAATTATTTCGCGAATTAACCGATTAAAAGCTATAGATCATGAATTTGTATCAACTAAAATTGGTTTACATCAGTTAAATTTACTTTATAAATTGCCTAAACTCTTATTCTGTGATATCTTTGTTTAAATCTCAAATTAATTGACATATTCACAAAACTTGTTATTCATAATTGCTTTTATGAAATTCAAAATGAATTAAGAATCCTAGATGAATCAAACATCACTTAGTTTTCATTTCTGAATGTTTTAATTAATATAAACGAGCTTTAATCGATTAACATCACTTATATAAAATTTTTTCATATTGTTTTAATCGATTAAATGTCGATTTAATCGATTAAATGAGCTCAAGTTTTTAAACTTCATCTTTCATTACTATTTTAATCGATTAAAACATTATTTGTATCAATTAAAATCATTAAACATGATCAATTTAATCGATTAAGTCCTGTTTTTAATCGATTATTATTCTGCAAAGGAAATTAAAGGTTTTAGTTAATGGTTGTTCTTGTAACGTGCTACTAGAGCAATGTTCCCTTGTCTTTACACGTGTTAATTGTATTCATTACAAATGTGTTAACGAAGGTAAGCTTGAATCTACTTTAATTGTACTTAAAATAATAATACATCTCATTGGTATCATCAAAACTTTATTTTTTCTACTTCTGTTTGTTTAATGCATTTTAAGTATCATGTGATTATATACCTGTTTGTTTGTTTCTACCTTCTCTCCCTATTTTTGATGAAGTCAAAGGGGGAGAAATAGTTAATATTAAATACTTACTTTTGGTATCAATACTCACTAATATGGATATCCAAGTGCTTTCTTTTATGCAGAACAAAATCTTTTCAAAGAGGTGATTTGTCTTCATCAAATAGGGGGAGACTAAAAGTGATGAAAATCTTGTTGAATCATTTGATAGAATAAAGATCTCATGAATTTGATGAACTCAAAAGCTACTTGAGTTTATGGGTAGAATATTTAGTGAGTCATCTTCAACATTAATAGGTATTCATTCATATTTCTCTATCGCATGAGGTTTAATCATTTAAAAGAATTTGAAAATACCTCTGAAAATCTTTTAATATGTTGAAAATTAAAGTAATTGATTAAACTATTTTTAAGAAATAATTTTAATTGATATAATGTGAGTTTTATCAATTAAAATATTCTTAAAACTTATTTGACAGAGTTTTAACCGATAAGTTTTCAAAATAATCGATTAAAACCATTTAAATTATTTATTGAAATTGTTTTAATCGATACATATTCGAATTAATCGATTATTTTCATTAAAGGAGTTTTTGAAAACCTTCTGTCAATATTTTAACTTATATAAACTCGAAATAATCGATTAAAATAACTTGAATGGTTTGAAAAAGTGTTCGACGGTATTTTAATCGATGTAAACTCGAATTAATCGATTAAAATCACTTAAGATGTTTTGAAAAGTGTTCTGACAGTATTTTAATCGATATAATCTCGAATTAATCGATTAAAATCACTTGAAAGGTTTTGAAAGAAGTTCTGTCAGAATTTTAATCTATATAAAATCGAATTAATCGATTAAAACAACTTAAAAGAATTTTTTATCACTGTTTTAATCGATTAAAACGGGTTGTTATCGGTTAAAATCACTTAGAAAGTTTTGTGAAAATATTTGGCAGAATTTTAATCGATTAAATTGAAAATTAATCGATTAAAACAACTTAATGAATTTTTTACAATGTGTTTTAATCGATTGAAACATTGTCGTATCACTTAAAACAAATCTAAAAAATAATCAAGAACATTTTAACAAATTAAAAGAAGTTTTAACAGATTAATTCAAGACTTTTAACAAATTAAAAGTTTGTTTTAACATATTAATTAAACCAGCAGTTAGAAAACATCTCTATATAAACAGGTTTTCTTCAACCTTTTGAAATATACTTTTGAGCAATCAATCAAGTTTTGTAGTGTTTTTGAAAGTTCTTTTTGGAGGTATTTTTGCATTCTTTTTGTGAAGAAACTCATACTGCAGGGACTGCATAATCCGGGTTAGATTGTTCTAGTTTTTTCCATTGTATTTTCTTTCATTCTTTACTGTACTGTAAGTGTCTGAAATTGTTGGGCACGATTTATATGGCTGAAATTTGGCTGCAGGTTGGTTTAAGAACTAAAAGTTGGTTCTTAATGAATGTTTAGGTGCAAGAACTTGAATTTTGGTTCTTGTGGTAGATTGCTGTGTGATTAGAATCTGAAATCTGTAAAACATTCAATCTAGTAGAAACTCAGCTGAAATTTGGCTGAGAACTGGACGTAGCCTTGGGATTGGGTGAATCAGTATAAATTTTGGTTGTATTTCTCTAAATCTTACTCTCTTTAATTTTGTTGTTGCCTTTATTTGAACTGCTTGTTTTTCTTGATTCAAGAATTGTTCAGAATTCTTAATCTTTGAAATAAATAATATGTAAACTTGCGAAAAAATTTTCAAAGATCAATTCACCCGCTCTTGATCTCATCCTTCTTTTCTAACACGTAGATATCAAAAGAATTAGGGATAAGTGTTCTGATTACCTTAAAAACATAAAAAATATTTCATATTACGCACTGAAAAGTAATGAAACAATGGAGTAGATTGTGTGAAATTCTTATGTGAGATATGTACGATGATTTTGTAGCATATGATAACGTGCAAGGTTGCTGGATGGGGTAATTGACTTAAGTTATAGGGTGGGTCAAATTGTGATAGTGTAAGTCCTGAAATGACCAATTAAGATAGAGTTTAAAGGAAGAAAAAGTAAAGTCATCACAGGATTAGTTCCATATACAGTTGTACAGATATTCTTTCTGCGATTCAGGTCTCTTGTTTACCGAAAAAGCTTGTTTGTATCTCCAGCAACTGAGAATGAAGCTCCTGAAGTTCGCCTCACCAAATCTCCTACTAGTCTCCCGACATCTGACAATCCTGATGCGTATGTCAAAGCTTCACCGATTGTAAAACCTCTGAAACATGTTATTCGTCCTGGTGATCCTACAAAAGCTGGGCGAAAAAGGCCCCCTCTGATCGACAAGAGGAAATTGCTGCCAAGAGGTTGAAGAAAATCAAAGATATAAGTGCTTCAGAGAAAGCAATTACTAGTCAGAAACCTTCTGATGCTTGGCGAGAAGATGGAAAAGAACCCATGTCCCAGGCTCCATCAAAGTTAGTGAAACTAGACTCGACCAAGAAAGTGGAGAGTCTGGCTAAGGCTGTTGAGCCTACCGTTTTGATGATCAAATTTCCTCCTGAAACATCACTTCCATCTATTGCAGAGCTGAAGGCAAGGTTTGCTCGTTTTGGCCCAATGGATCAATCAGGTTTTCGTGTGTTTTGGAATTCATCAACCTGTCGGGTTGTTTTCTTGCACAAAGTTGATGCACAGGCTGCATATAAATATTCTGTTGGAAATCAATCGTTATTTGGCAGTGTGGGTGTGAGGTGTTTCCTTAGGGAATTTGGGGATTCTGCTCCTGAAGTCTCTGAAGCTGCCAAGGGTAAAGCAGATGACGGGGGTAGTGAAATACCTCGGGTCAAGGATCCTGCAGTGGTTCATCGTCAGGCATCAGCATCATCTTTACTACCTCTTCTTCAGCCCATCCAACTCAAGTCCTGCCTGAAGAAATCTACAGGTGATGAGTCGGGTATGATTACGGGCAATGGAAGTAGTAATAAAGGAAACTCTAGTGTAAAATTCATGTTTGGTGGGGAAGATAGTAGTAGGGGAGACCAATTAATGGTGGGTAGTAGAGACAAGTTCAATGCTAGTTTTGCTGATGCTGGCTCACCTCCTGTTGCAATGGATTTTAATAGTAAGAGCGTTGAAAAGATTACTTTACAACCCCGATGCCTGTTCTTCCCCTTTCTACTCAGTTTTCAAAAACCCCACAACAAAATTTACGTAATCCTGAATTGGCAATGGCACCCCGAAACCATCCGCTTTGACAAAAAATACTCCAGACACTACCACATCCATTTCGATATCATTCTTTCATGCATACACTACAAAAGTTATTGAGTGGAGGTCGTGTTTGGGTATATTTGTAGATTTTTGGCTCCAGAAAATGTAAATGCACTCATGTTGTCTGAATTAGTAGCTCTTAGCTTGCAGGAGTCTGGGTGCTCAGTTGATATTAGTTGGTACGTATCAACGTTAACACCAAATGCATGTTCGCTTGTTCTGTATATTGTATCATTTGACTTATTTTTAAAAATTAGAATCCGTTTTAAATTCGATTATTATATTGCTATTTGCGACCTAGAGAACGGGACTTGTTTTTCTTTTTCTTGCTTTGCGTATATGACTATAGATGTTCCAACACCAAAGCACACCAAAGTATATTTCTCTTTTACTTTAAACTAACCTTACGGTAACATTTGCTTCTCGCCAAAGAAAATTACGCAGCTGTTAATGATGTATTTTTTCACTTTTTCAGAGTAAATTAGTAAAAATTATTACAAATAATTGTTATAAAAAAATAATGCTTGACATTCATTTCATAAAATGCAGAAATAAATTTAGATAAATTTACATTAATTATGGATTGCTGTCATGAAAGTTTCTCTTATGTACTACCAGTGTTATTTCAAATGAAACTAAAAAGCAAATAATAATTATTTTCGTATAAAAACATAGTCAAGTTGTGTATGTGCCAATTAGCAAACTTTTGTTTCTCTATCACGCGTCCTAAATAGGGGCGTAGTTTGTTCGAATTCTTGATAGATCTTTTTAAATTTTCATATTACTTATTTTAAAGTAATCAAACTAATGACAAGATTAAAATTGCCCACAATTATAAAATATAAATCGCAAATGAACACTTATAAGGAAACTAGAAATGTAATTAAATTAAACATTAAAATACCAGTAAAGACTACAGAGAGAGCGAACTTAAAATCAAACAAGCCCAAAGAAGCCCAACTATAAATATGGCCACCATTTGAACATCGTCGCCTTCATTTGTTGTAATCAAAATTGTGCTCACCAGCAAGCCAGACACAAACGCATCACCAGATTCAAAAAAACATAACGGATTGGTTGGGGTGGGGGGTGTAGAATTGTCACACTAAAAGAGGGAAAACACTGTAGCTACATGCTTCTAAACAACGACATTGGCGTCCTCGGGGATCACAGTTAAAGTCACCAATTCATGTTTATCGGTACCCCCAACTTTGTATTCCAACATTTCACTAACCTGCCATAATAAACTATAGTTTTGTATTAAATCTTCTTACCTCAACAACAATATCAGATTATAAATTAAAATAACAAATATATATATATATATATATATATATATATTTAATAAGATACTACCTCCTCTAATCTTTCGACAGGCTTCCCATCAAATTCTATGACAAGATCATCATGACAGAATCCAGCACGCTCTCCAGGGGACCTAGGAGTTATCTCGACAAAAACATTGAAGTTCCCTTGAGATAAATAGGTGATTTCAAGTATTTTAGTGCTTGTCTAGTATAGATGAGTGCAAAACTACAACACATAATCAAAATTAGAAAAAAATCAATTGACAAGGCGAATTACATATTTATCATAGTATTGTCTCATAAGAAAGTGGAAGAAGTATGATTTTGTTGTCACTCCATCCTTTACGTATTAACGTTGTACGAATCTGATGGTCTTGTCGTTTTAATGTCTCAGGTTTTCTAGTTTAATAGGTAAAATCTAATTATTATTTACAAATACTTAATTTTATCCAACCATTCTCTCAACATTCATTCCTCATTTGAAGTCCTAAAATACATACAAGTAATAATCTTGTGCAGTATGATAGTTATTAGTAAAGTAACCCTAACTTTGGTAGCTGATAGTTCACTCCAAGAAGACACCAACCAGCTTTGCCAACAAAAAAAGTGTCTTTGTTTCAAGAAACGGATTGCATTCCCCCTAACCGTACAGCATTCATCCAATTGAAAAATTAAACACACAAGAATCCGAAGGAGCACATAAAATAATATATCCTAAATGGAGTTAGCAACATATCATTGCTACAAGAATGCCCTTAATGACATTAGGGAATGAAGCATCTTGCTTCTTAAGTTGCGCAATAATCATCTCATGGAGATCAAGCATCTTTAGCCCAAGTCAAGACCGCATTACTCTCCTATAGAAACGTTAAATAATGCTTATTAATTTTATCCGCAATATGCAATAGCTCAACTCGACTACACATTAATGATTTTCAAAAAAATATATTTAAATTCATATTTGTTTATGGAATATCAAAATATTCCACAAAGTTTTATCAAAATTATGATACATAATTTACAATGTATCATACCTCAATCATGACACTCATTTCTGGGTTTTATAAGTTCAATTGATGGTTGATCTTAGTATATCAACTATACTACAGATTGAAGTCACTTTGCAAGATGGAAGAACATTTGAGGGGAAAGTGGTGAATGCTAACCTACATTCAGATATTGTTGTTCTGAAGATCAATTCTGAAACTCCACTGCCGGAAGCTAAACTTGGTTCGTCAAGTAGGCTACGTCCTGGAGATTGGGTTATAGCCTTTGACTGTCCACTTTCTCCTCAAAATACTGTCACTGCTGGAATTCTAAGGTGTGAAGAAAAAATTCAGGCAACAACAGTTGTGTCCTTACATTAAGCTATTTTTGTTTTGTTTTAGGTTATGCCATTTAATAGAATTTGTAAGTTAAAACTATATGGTTATTTTGGGTTTTATCATATTAATTGACTAAGCTTATGATATTTTATTGTAAAAGATTCCTTACTTTCTTTTGAACTAATGAAATTAATTTTTTATATGATTTTTTTGGTAGTTGTGTTGACCGCAAAAGTAGTGATTTAGGTTTCAGTGACATGCCGAGAGAGTATTTACGAACCAATTGTGCGATTAATATGGTATGTCTTCTTCTTTTTCTCTCCTTAATTTACCCACCTATCCAACTAGATGTGCATGTGGTGTGATGACTAAATATTAACATGAATGTCTGTTCAGTCTGGTTGTATGTTTTTATCTGATTCTATGGTATAGGAAAATTCTAGAGGGTCTCTCGTTAACATGGATGAAGAAATTATTGGGGTGAACATGATGAAAGTGGTTGCTGCTATTGGGGTGAACATGTTGAGAGAAAGGTTGGAGAGAATTAAGTATTTGTCAATGATAATTAGATTTTACCATGTTAAACTAGAAAACCTAAGACACTAAAACGACAAGGTCATCAAATTCTTAAAACGTTAGTACATAAAGGATGGAGTAACAACAAAATCATACTTCTTCCACTTTCTTATGAGATAATATTATGACAAATATGTAATTCGCCTTGTGAATTGATTTTTTCTAATTTTGATTATGTTCACCCCAATAATTTCTCCAACCATGTTGACGAGAGGCCCTCCAGAATTTCCCTATACCATAGAATCAGATAAAAACATATAACCAGACTGAACAAACATTTATGTTAATATTTAGTCATCACACCACATACACATCTAGTTGGATAGGTGGGTATATCAAGGAGAGAAAAAGAGGAAGACATATCATACTAAACGCACAATCGACTTGTAAATACTCTCTCGACATGCCACTGAAACCCAAATCACTACTTTTGCGGTCAACACAACTACCAAATAAATCATACAAAAAATTAATGTCATTAGTCCAAAAGAAAATCAAGAATCTCTTACAATAAAACATCATAAGCTTAGTCAATTAATATGATAAAACCCAAAACAACCATATAGCTTTAGCTTCTAAATTCTGTTAAATGGCATAACCTAAAACAAAACAAAAATAGCTTAATGTAAGGACACAATTGTTGTTGCCTGAATTTTTTCTTCACACCTTAGAATTCCAGCAGTGACAGTATTCTTAGGAGAAAGTTGACAGCCAAAGGCTATAACCCAAACTCCAGGACGTAGCCTACTTGACGAACCAAGTTTAGCTTCCAGCAATGGAGTTTCAGAATTGATCTTCAGAACAGCAATATCTGAATATAGGTTAGCATTCACCACTTTCCCCTTAAATGTTCTTCCATCTTGCAAAGTGACTTCAATCTGTAATATAGTTGATATACTAAGATCAACCATCAGTTGAACTTATAAAACCAAGAAATGAGTGTCATGATTGAGGTATGATACATTGTAAATTATGTATCATAATTTTGATAAAACTTTGTAGAATATTTTGACATTCCATAAACAAATATGAATTTAAATATATTTTTTTGAAAATCATTAATATGTAGTCGAGTTGAGCTATTGCATATTGTGGATAAAATCAATAAGCATTATTTAACGTTTCTATTGGAGAGTAATGTGGCTTTGGCTTGGGCTAAAGATGTTTGATCTTAATGAGATAATTATTGTGCAGCTTAAGAAGCAAGATGCTTCATTCCCTAATGTCACTAAGGGTATTCTTGTAACAATGGTATGTTGCTAACTCTATTTAGGATATATTACTTTATGTGCTACTTCGGATTTTTGTGTGTTTAATTTTTCAATGGGATGAATGTTGTACGGTTAGGGGGAATGCAATCCATTTCTTGAAACAAAGACACTTTTTTTGTTGGCAAAGCTGGTTGGACTCTTCTTGGAGTGAACTAACGGATACCAAAATTAGGGCTACTTTACTAATAATTATCACACTGCACAAAGTTGTTACTTGTATGTATTTTAGGACTTCAAATGAGGAATGGATGTTGAGAGAAAGGTTGAATGGAATTAAGTATTTGTGAATGATAATTAGATTTTACCCTGTTAAACTAGAAAACTTGAGACACTAAAACGACAAGACCATCAGGTTCTTAGAACATTAATACGTAAAGGATGGAGTGACAACAAAATTATACTTCTTCCACTTTCTTAAGAGACAATATTATGACAAATATGTAATTTGTCTTGTCAATTAATTTTCTTCTAATTTTGATTATGTTCACCCCAATAATTTCTCTATCCATGTTGACGAGAGACCCTCCAGAATTCTCCTATACCATAGAATAAGATAAAAACATTTAAAACCTAACGACAGAAACCGCACCGGTTGCTATGCGTACAAAATACAAAGAGAGTAGTACTCGTACCAGAATCCATCTCATGGCTAGCAACTCATACACACTACTTTACCACAACTCATTATTAAATACAGTGAAATACAGGCCCCAACTCACGCGAAAGCCCAAAAGCCAAATAACTGTTCAAAACAAACTCAAGTTATACAACCCCAAATTCAGATTAAATCTTTAAATTATATTTGATTTTAAAAAATGTCGATCCACGTTAATACAATTTTAATACTGAGATGAGCAATCGAAGTTTAACCGCACTTGCTGTTAGAAAAACTAAAAATAGATTATGTAAAAAAAAAAAGGTAATGAAAAATATTGCATCTTCCATGTATGAGTTACCAAAGCACTACATCTAACATCATCGTCATATTCAGCCATGGAAAAGGTGACCTAAGCAGTGAAAGACCAGACGCTATGTAACAGCATCAAGCTTCAACTAACCTAAAACTATGTATATAGTTTCCAAAAAAAGAAAAAAACAAAACTACCGAAAAGGAAAAGGATAATTTACAAAACATAACATTTATTTCTTCTTACGAGAGTTAGGAGTAGATGGTTTGTCAGAATCGGCACTGGTAGCTTTCTTAGGCAACAAAACCGGGTTAATATTCGGCAACACTCCACCGCTAGCAATCGTTACACCCTGAAGCAGTTTACCCAATTCATCATCATTCCTCACAGCGAGAAGTACGTGCCTAGGGTTAATCCTGTTCTTCTTGTTGTCACGTGCGGCGTTCCCAGCCAACTCCAACACCTGCATTGTACAATCCAGGTTAAAATTGTTCGATTAATTAACTAATTAATTTTAATAACGAGGTGAAGAACCATTGGATATTTACCTCGGCGGCGAGGTATTCGAGTACGGCGGCGAGATAGATTGGAGCGCCGGTGCCTAAACGGCGGGAGTAACGGCCTTTCTTCAAGTACCTGGCGACGCGGCCGACGGGGAATTGGAGACCGGCTTTGGTAGATTTGGAAACGGACTTCTTCCTGTCGCCTCTTCTTCCAGCGGCACCTTTGGGGGTCGCCTCCATTGATGCGTGATCCGAGATGATAGTGAACGGTTCGTTTGGAGGGAACCCGATGAAGAAGCGTTTTTTCCTTTTCTTCGAATCTTTGGAATTGTAAGCACTGAGCAAAACGAGAGGGAACGCCGAATAAATACTGCGCGTAAACGACAAATGCTGCCGATCGCGTTTGTACCCAGGGATACATCTCGCGGCTCCGGTCGTGCCACGCTGGCGATCCGTGCCTAAAGATTCCACCTGGAGGATTTGTAGGCTGCTTTGATTTTATCATCGGACGGTTGATTGTGTTGACTTGCTGGCAATCCACGTGGTTTCGCTCGTCCGATCCGACGGTGTTGTCTTCTTGTTAGTGGCTAAGTACGCGATTAGATTGCGTGGAAGAATTATATTTTTAGTATTGTTGCATCTATCAAAAATAAAGTATAAACATGGATACTTAATATTTTAAAAAATTATAACATTAAAAATATATGTTGTATATTATATAATTGATGGACAACTAATCATCTTCTTGTGTTCGATCCCAAACATAATATTTTCGGTGACCATGATTCCAAAGCATATAAACACACAACAAGGCTTTCTACTCTACACAAATAGCGCGAGGGGGTTTCATAGACTTTTTAAGATCATTACACACGTTATCTATCATCTCCAGAAAGTCCCTAACAATCACAAAGATTTGAAGTGGATTCGACTCTTCGTTAGTCACATCCCCATGAAAATACTCAGTTATTTCTTTTACACGACTCATCACTCTACCTTCATCTCCATGCAAGTCTTGTACCTTTCTTTCTGCATAATTCAGAAACCACTTCATAGAAATGACAAAGCTCTTATTTTTTTCATCTTCACACAACAACCCTCTTACTAGGTTCTGCATGTTAGCCAACCCAGTTGATAGGTTCGAGACAGAACTTGCAAGAACGCTTAAGTCAATTGTGGCGGTCTTTTTAACATTGCATAACTCAGCACTAAGATCAGAGACAAGTTTTAGTCCCATTCTTCTACAATCTTCTTCCTTCTCTTCCTCCGTTCCGTTTTCACGCTTCTGCCCCATGATGCTCTTTGAAGCTTTGGTTCCTTCTGAGCGAATTATCTCCTGAACAAAGAAATGGAGCAAGGTGGTTTTACCATCTGTTCCTTTTACATCAGCAAGCTTGAGAAGGGCATCAAGTTTGAAGGCTCTAGCACCTCCCCTGGTTGTCCCCACGTTCATGCGGTTTCCTGTTTTGAGCACTGCTTCGAGCAATTTCAAGAAGAACTTGCTTGACCTTAGTTCCTTGCACGCTTCCTGGTGTCACAAAAACCATAACGTCATAACCAAAAAAAGAAGAGTGTCAATAATGACTCTTCAACATGAACAACATATGTGGTTAAAATTTCATGAATGAGGATTTTTTATACAACATACTTGGCTACATAGTGTCATGATGTTTTATCAATTTCAAGAAAATTGCAGTGAGCTACTCTAAAAGGGTCTTAATTATTCTGTCGCTACCTCCAACATTGTGAAAGAGTTGCTGAGGTGAGCCACTTCATCTTCGAAAGCTTCTCTGTAAAGCATTGCTTCCACTCGTTGAAAGGCAAATGGTATGCTAAGCATTGCTCTCACAAACTTTTCTGCGAACCCTAGTTCATCGACTTGTCCTTTGTAGCTCAAGAGCTTATCCTCTTCTTCCTTCGTGGGTACCATTTTCACCAGTGCCTCTAGTTGTTGCAAAGACAAACCCTTCCCTGCATTTATTTTCAATATTTAATAAAATACTCCACTTAGCAACATTAGTTTTATCTTTAGCATATGGTGTAAACGTAAATGTGCATGCATGGTTGAAACTTTAGTATTCGAAGTTATTACATACTTTTTATTTTAATGTGGCCGAATGTTTATAAAATAGGATCCTTTACCTAGTATCAGAGCATCGCATACTTCCCTGGCTGTTGCATTTAGTGCTTTAGACAGTATTGCTATGTTTTGCAACCGTTTTGGCTCAAGTAGATGCTTGTTAGGAGACGGGGTTTTACTCTTTGTTTCATCGTTCTTCATTGAATTTTGTAAATTGTAGCCAAAGAGTGACTCGATCATTACCTCATCCAACCTGATTAAATTTCATCATTTTCTCAAACTGTGAAACTAGAAACAGATAGAAGGCATTAATTGCTAACATGGAGGAAGAACTCACTCAAAGGAATTTGTTCGTAGCGTGTCCCATACCATTGTTCGATCCGGCGTGGCTCTTACCTTGTCCCAGTGAAGTGGTTTGAGTTTTGGCAGTTGTTTAGAAGTTGGGTTTTTTATCATACTGTTAATGTTTTCTTTCATAAAAGGAGGTGGACATGGTGGGGGAGGAATGCTAGGTTGAGAAATTCCGCTCTTCTTTTGTTCTTCATGTTTTGGAATGGATGGTGATTGGTTAGATTCTACCTTTGGAGTTGAATTATGAGAAGAACAAGGAAATTGAGTTGTTTCAGAAATTAAATTTCTAGGAGAGAGAGATAACCGTTCTGTTTCACTTATTGATGAATGTGAATCAATACATGAATGAAAACTTTCGTAATCTGATGATGAATGAGATTCTCCAGGGACAGTTTTTTCTCCAGAGGAAGCTTTGCCACCATCATATTCCAATTCCTCGTGAACAGAGAGAATTTCCTTGATGGAAGAACTTCCCGTGCTAGCATTGTTGTATGCTTCTTGATTCAACACTTCCGTCTCATAAATTGCACGCTTTAGGGAACTATGGCTTGAGGTACTTTTTTGTGTCTCACAAGTTTGTTTCAAACTAGTGATGTAAAGCAAATCAGGGTCTGAATTTCGGTACGTACCTCCTGTTCTTCCGATCTTGCTAAAAAGTGGAATTGTCCTATTGGATTTCCGTCTCTGATTTCTAAATTTCTTGCAAACACAGACACAGCCAAGTGCACAGATTAACGTAGCAACTCCACCAGATACTACAACAGCCACTAGTGTTGTTCTATTTGCGCTACCTCCATCTTCTTGTTGAATCTTGTGAAGTGGCATGTTCCTTTGTGAGTGATAGGAACGAGGGTGCACGTGCAGATCCGAATTCGGAGCCTCAGCTTCGGTTTTGGGTGACACAGAAGCTGAGAGGGACACAAAGTCAGAGTCAAAAACATTATAGCATGACCTTCTTCTGTGAAACCTGTTGAATGACTTGAGTCCAAACAAAGTTGTGAAGTCTTCAAGTCTAGGAGTTTCCTTGTTTTCATTCTCATCCTCTCCTGAGATTTTCTTGAACTGCTTTTCATTTCCTGCTGCATGCAACGCAGCATCCACAGTCAAAATGTTGGCTCTTTGCAATGATAGGAACATCAATATGGTAATGATGAGCCTCATGTCGTGAGCATCAAAACCAAGACTCGTTATTTTCTGGCAAGCAAAAGTTCGCAAGACATCAATGTTCCTTTTCCCTCTTTAAAATCTGTTTTTCTTTTAGTTCCATTCACTTTCTGAAGGAGGGAAAACAAGACTCGTTAATTGGGTGAAGAAGATCCAGAACGATGTCTTTAATGCTACTCCAAGGAATCGCTGAGCATAGCAGTTGTTGTTGTATTTTTCCTTCTCAGGGAACTCAAAAACTCTACTCAGTTCTCACCATAATCAATTCTATCTACCCTATATGCATAACAGTAGTGTTAATGCATAAGAGTGGGAAAATCCTTTCTACTAGGCCACTGGCTTGACTTAATGCTTTTGTCTTGTTTTTAAAGACTATTTTGTCTTGTTTTTAAAAGCTATTTTGTCATAAAGTAAATGGGAGATACTCACTAATTCTTTCGTTCGTCGTGATCAAACACCTCTCCTTTTCTTAGTGTTAAATTCAGGATCAACAAGTACAGAATCTGATAATTTGAGTCACCGTCGTTGCAGTTGGATAAAGATTTTCAGTAGTTAAAGAGTCATGTAATGCAAACGACGCAGAAGTTGACATGTTTGTTGGGCTTGGCTAACTCTCTGCTGGTGATTAAACAACATTTCTCCATCCAAACCCATTAAAGAGAAGAGATGGACCCTGTGGGGGGACCAGAGTCCTAACTTTCTGATGTGAATGTGACTATGTTTCATAGGGAAACTATTTTACATTTTGTGAGTTTTGAAACCCTCATCTTACATCTCATTCAATGATGTCATGTCACTGCCTTTGTTGGAAAGTTTTTAAAATTACTACAATTTAATTCTAGGAAGTTTTTTTATCTAGTCTTCACACAGATTCATCTACTTCTAATGTAGAGATTGTAATTTATATTTAGGCTTGATGTGTTGCAATCCATGTACAAGTTATGTTGCTTGAATGCAAATTCCAATTTCCATGCATGTTGCATCTCAAAATGCTCTCTATTTTGTGCAGTTGTCTAATTAAAAGACTGTTTAAAGACATGGAAAGATAGTATAACTATTATTATGCACTGTAGTTATCTTTTTTAGCATGTGTCAGTAAATGATCTGATGTTTCCATTGTCGGCAGAATAGCTCTTTAAAGCTTTCTACCCTCTTGGCAGAATTTCCATGCGTTGACTATGATTAGTTTCACTGCACATTGGAGGAGTGAGGAGTTTGCAATCTTTTATTTGTATTCACTGTGTTGATGATGATGATGGTGTGTCATACTGGTTTGTTTGTAATTAGCAATGAAAACATTGTAAGGACAAACTACATAGTTTATTTTAAAGATGGATATTAACATAATCATGCAAAAACTTTTATATTAAAATAATTAGGAGAATTTTTTTTAATTAAAATTTATGCTAAAATTGATGTTTCAACAATTTTGTTGTTAGTTAAGTGACATTATATATATTTTTTCTAAGTGAGAAAATTTTCAAATTAAAAAAAAAAAATATATATATATATATATATATAGAGAGAGAGAGAGAGAGAGACATATAAAATAAGTGTTGTTGTTTTCTTTCAGTAATTTTTAACATAAAAAAAATATGTTCAATTCCTTTAGATTTTAGAAAATTAGTTAGATCTTACATATTTATTGCTAACAACAAATTGAGTGTAAAAAAAATAAAGAAATTTATAATGATATTAAATGTTTCATGTTTACATTACATTAGTAAAAGATGATAGGAAGAAAACATTATATAACAATAAATGAGATAGTATTTTAACTGAACCCATTCTAGTGATACGTAATTTATTATTGTTAGGCAAAATAATAAAGAATTTACCCAAGAAAGTGTGAATCTTTTTAAATAAGAAGAAAAACTTTATCTATAAAATATTTTTGCACACATCCAAAATCACATTATATTATTTGTACATACAAACTAATTGATAACTAACTACAACTAATTTTATCTGTCATTTTTAATGTTTAAAATAATATTAATTATTACTTTTATCAACTATATCCCTTATTTTTAACCTAGTTGCATTTACTTTGCCTATATATTTAATACAAAATAAAGGGAAAATAATTATTTTAAAACCTATATTAAACATGATCTCTTTTTATCATTCATTCAAGAATTATATGTAGAAACACATGATTATTGTTTCTGGTGGAATTTCGATCGATTTCGATTCTAAGGGTGTTTTGGTCCTAATCAAAATCCTACCACGTAAGCTCTTTTTACTTAGGCTAGCAATTTGGTTTTCAATCGAAAACGTGTATGAAAATCGAAAACTCCAGGATATCGAAAATACTGTTTTTTGGTATTTTGTATTTAAAGTATCGAAAAAATTTAGACTATCGAATAGAAAAGCGTAATATTAAATGGCGAGGAAATGTAAAATGCGAGAACCCCAAACTTGCATTAATTGTAAATAGCGAGGAATCGAAAACAACACAAATATAATCGACAAGAAATCGAGATTGCAAGAAAAGTAAATGACAGTAAAATTGAGATTTGCGTAATGTTAAATAACAGGAAATCTAAATGCGTAAACTCAAATTTTCATTGAATTGAAATGGACAAGGAATCGAAATACGTAAACATAAAACTGCTGAATTTAAGTTGCATCAAAGTAAATTACCAAGGAAAATACAGAAAGCGATAAATGTACTCCGTGAGCAGGGAAATCCGGACCGCCGTAAGCTTCATGGTGTTCGTCGTTTCTCCGTAGACTTTTCACTACCGGTTCCGTGCTCGCCAATTTTTGCTCCCTCCGTTCCTTCCTTCTTTTGCTCTATTTATAGTGGTATCCTTCAAGCCTTCTAAGAGCAGCTTAATACGATCGCTACCACGTTCTACGTGCGTATGGCAGCTTTATCTTCTAGTTTCCCACGTTCTCACGATCTCCGACTTTTACCCATGATTTCAAAACTCGCTCTCTATACGTGCATTCGACTTACTTCCCTTCACGATTTGGCCAAAATCTCGATGTCCCCATTGGCTTTCTTTATTCTCGATTCTATATTTTTCGAGAACTTCGAATTGCTCACGATTCCTTTTTAATCCCGATCTTATATGACTTAGTTTTTATTCGACAACAGTCATTTGATTACAATTCATTCGATTCTCGATTGTGTTTCTCGATGCTATATGCTACGTATTTCTAATTAGACATCGAATGAACTTTTGTTTATCTTATCGAGTCATATTTCTTCCCTTCGATTTCGATCGCTTTTCTCGATTTGCCACTAACAAAATGCCCCCTTGGAAGAATATAAATGATTTCTGTTTTATATTCTTTCAATATTCCCGCCTTAGTATTTGAAAGCCCACAGGATTTAGTGGTTTAGGGTTTCGGGGTTCTAGGGTTTAAAAGGGTTGTGGGTTTCTTTTTGCTTTATGTCGTTGTCTCGTCGTCCGTCGCCTTCACAAGACGTCGCATTTATTACCTTTCACCTCCATCGTTCCAGCTCCCTATACGATTTACCCTTAACCTCTCCCTTAGTCTTCACTCGGTTTTTACGCGAACCATTACCTTCTCGTGCAATTTCATCTTCTTCCTTGAGCTCCCGCCTTCGTTCCTATTACCTCATCCGTTAACTCTTCCCTTTCGTTTTCCTAAATTCACTACAATGGCCAGCTCATCAAAATCTTCTCGACTTTTCTCGCCTCCACCCCTTTCTTCACCGCCATCTAACCTCGCCGGAGATCAACAACCGGAGGTTCGCTCCAGTCCTTCCGATGGAGGAGGCTTCCCGCAAGATTGCCGAGACGCAGTACTTATTCCTTATACCGTTGAAGGGGTAAATTTTGCTTTTGGGGTCCTCTCCGTCCTATCGATGACATTTTTACTCCTCTTAACCTCTCAACTAGTCCGGCTTTGGTTCATCAACCCGAAGTTAGGGTTGATTTTCCGAATCTTACTTCTAAAGTGTATAGAACGGGCCCTCCTTCCAAAAAGCCTCAATTTATTAGGTGGTTCGATAGGGTACAAGCCAAGTTTGGGAACCATTGGAGGGATATAGGAATTTTCGACTTTTTGCATCCGTCTCGATGCGATCTATCATTTTTGGACATGGCGATGTTTTTGTCTCATGGTGCATTTATGGAACAAGGACCTACATGCTTTGGAGTTGCCTTGTGGTCCTCTCGTCGCCTACCCTTTTCGAGATTGCGGCTATTATCGGGTTGAAGCCCATAGGGAGAAGTATATTAAAGGTGCATATCCTTCGAGTAGCTCTTTGCGGTCCAAAATTGATTGGGAATCGAAGGCTTACTGACATTTCATCGAGAAACATTTTGTTGATGACCCTTCGATAGTCAGTTATCGATGAAGAGCATGTAGCATTTTTGGTGTATTGGCTATGCACTCATGTATTTTGCCCCCGATCCATCCAAATCTCCCCCATTTGTTTGATCTTGCATATGTCCCGCACATAGGTCAGCCTACGATATGTTTGGCTAAGCTACTACTAGCTCATGTGTATGCTACTTTCGACGAGGTCGTCGAAATTTTGAACACACCTAAAGCGTCGGGGAATTTTTCAGCCCCGTTTGGTTTGTACAGCTGTGGCTTACTTCAATTTTTGAGAGCGTCCTTCCTCGAATCTCTTCCGTCCCTCCGAGTGTAAATATAGAAGGGGCCCGATTATCCTCTCGTCACCCTCGTCATAAGTCCGATGAAACTACCTACCGTAAATACCTTCATTTTTTGTTAACCGGATTCACTTTCGACTCAACCTTGGCCCCATTTACCGTAAATCTTGGAAGAACAAGTGGCCAACTTAGGGGGCCGATTTGGTTTAAATCGAAATTTCCCGCCTCGACTCTCGGGTTGCAATCGAACCGATAGGTGTATGGAGTAACTATTTGACCCATGATGTTTTGGTATCTGGTTTTCAATCGAAGGATTTTAAGCTTGTCACCTATTACCCCCAGCTTTTCTCGAGACAATTTGGGTTGAGTCAATCTTTGCCTTTCTTTTCTCTCGAT